GCTCAGCCAGAGGTGCTGGGAAGTACTGGGTGGAGCTATTTCCCCATGCTTCATCTGCCGACAGACGCTCCTGTTGGGAAGGTCTAGCTCTGCTTTGTTCCCCTCTTCTCCAGGGTACGGATATTTGCACTGCCTTAGGCACTGTTCTCCAAGACCCCAAATACTTCAAGGATCCAGAAAACTTCAGCCCCGGGCATTTCCTGGACGAAGAAGGCCGCTTCAAGAAGAACAATGCTTTCCTGCCATTTTCCGCAGGTACATGCGATGTACTCAAAGAATCACAGAAAATTCGGGTGGGACGGGACCTCAGGGGGTCACATCTAGTCCAAGCCCCTGCTCCAAGCAGGACCAGCCCCAACTCCAGCATCTCAGCCAATGCTTTGCCTTGTTTAAGCCTCTTAGCTGGAAAGTTTGGATTAACCCCTACAACCAGAGGGTTAATATCTCATCTCTCTCCTGCAATCTCTGCTGACCATATATTTAAAGCCCTGACTTCAGCTGGGATGCGGTGACAGCAGGAGTTTAGACCCAGGCCTCCTGGGCTCTATCCCCAGCATTAAAATCAGCAAGAAATCAGAGGCTGGAAGAGTCAGTTCCATGACTCGGTTTACCCCACTTCACCAAGACGCTGCTTGCCTGGGGACTATAAGGCTGTAGATGTCCATGTAGATCTGGAACGAAAAGGTATGTAGACCATGCTGGCAGATAGGACCAAAAATCAGCCCCCTCTCACACCAGCAGCCATAAAAGCTCCCAGATTTAAAGCTCGGGCAGTTCTTACTGGTAAACCCACAAATTCCATTTTGGGGTTTTTTTAACCCGTTGGCTCCGTTTCTCTCCACAGGCAAGAGGGTGTGTCTGGGCAAGAGCCTGGCCCTCATGGAGCTCTTCCTGATCCTAACCACCGTCTTGCAGCGCTTCACCCTGAAATCGCTGAAACCCCCGCAGGAAATCGACCTCACCCCAAAAATGAATGGATTTGGGATCGTTCCCCCCAGCTACGAGATCTGCGCCTGCCCACGTGAGGAAGAACTGCAGGACGCAGCCTAGGAGAGTCACAGCAGCGCACCGAGCAGGACAAGGACATCACGACCCCAACGTAGCAAGGAGACGCGCGTGACTGAGGAAGACCTTCACACAGGACGTTATCATTAGAAACTGATATTGCCCATTGCTGGCTGTCATACCCACGGTGGGGTTTTTTTCCTCATGCTTCCTTTTCAGATCCCTCCATGGCAGAAATAGCAGCAAGTATGCAGCAGTGGAAGGTGCGCAGCCGGTGGGGATGAATATGCTTGCTCTTCCGGTTGAAGCACAGGGCTTCCTGGGCTCCACATTCACAGCCCAGCGGTCAACGCCCTGGACAGCGATTCGGGGCTCCTGGCCATAGAACAGGATGGGGTTTGCCGACTGGAGCTGGGTACTGAGCCTTGCGGAGAAGAGATGCCTGCTCCTGTGCTAGGAACAATCCCTTGGGCTTTCACTTCTGCCGGGATGCGTCATTTTTCTGAAAACTTGCAGCAGCTGCTTGCAATAAAACCTTCCCAAAACAGCCACGATTCGCTCTGTGTTTCATAGACCGGCTAGAGACAGGAGTCACCAAAACCTGTTCCAGAGTGAATCTTTGCAGACGTTACAATTAGCCTGGTTGGCAAAGGAAAAGAAACAGGATGTGGCAGGTAGTATATTCCTAGATGGAGAGAGCAAAAGATCAAAGATCCTCCCTTCCAGAACTGTAATTGATACAAGGATGTCGTTCTCAACTAATTGGCATCTTCTAGGTCCACAGACAAACCAGTTCAGTCAAGTTCCCAAAGTCTCGGTGCAACCAAGAAATTTGAATAATGCCAATCAGAAAACATTTATTATAATATGCCACATATAAATACGTGCAAAGAGGACAGGAATTTGGGGGATTCAAGTAATGATAGCTGTCCTACCTCTTGTAAAAGAGGTCCTGGATCGTCATGGATGGGCTGTAGTCTTCTCTCTCTAAAGACCAAACAGTCCTGAGTTTAGGGTAACAGAGCTGGGGGCTCCTTCTCATAGGCGAGACTCAAATCATTACACTCAGGACTCAGCGCGCTGCTTCAGAGCATGGATGAAGCCAGCAAAATTTGGAAACCTGCCTCTCACTAAGCAGACGGGCGCTTCAGGCTACACCAAGCTGGGCATCTCTCATGATGCGATGGTGTCTTAGAGCAAGGGAAACTTCAGTGCAGAGGCTCTGTGGGGAGAAGTGACCACAAGAAAACGCAACTAGGAAGTGGCTTTGCTTTGGCATAGTGCAGCCAGGGACTGAGCACGATGAGACGTACAGCAGCTGGGCAGGAGCTCTCGCTGCAGCACTCGCTGGGGTAGGGCTACAAGACAAAGCAGTGGATGCAGTTAAAAACAGAGTCATGTTTGGGCACAACCGTGCAAAGGTCTAAAACGCAGAATCATTTCCCTGCACTGGTAGATCATGGAAGTGTAAGATGCTAGCATGGGAGAGGACAGCTGCCCACCAGGACAGTTCCCTCAGCAATGACTTTCAGAGAGGCCTAAACCAACTGAAGGATTGGGCCAAAAGAAATCTCAGGAGGTTCAACAAGGACAAAGCAAAGTCCTGCACTTAGGACGGAGCAATCCCATGCACCCGGTGCAGGCTGGGTGTGTCGGGGTGGACAGCAGCTCTGCAGAAAAGGACCTGGGGGTGACAGTGGGCAGTAAGATGGATATGAGCCAGCCGTGTGCCCTTGTTGCGGCATCCTAGGCTGCATTGGTAGAAGCATCGCCAGCAGTCATGGGAAGTGATTCTTTCCCTGTATTTGGCACGGGGGAGGCCACATCTGGAGTCCTGTGTCCAGCTGTGGGCCCCCACTGCAGAAAGGATGCGGACACATTGGAGAGTCCAGCGGAGGCCAACAAAACTGGTTGTGGGGCTGAGGGACAGGACTGGTGAGGAGAGGCTGAGGGAAATGGGCTGATTTAGTTTAGAGAAGAAAAGACCGAGGCGGGATTTAATAGCAGCCTTCAGCTCCTCGCAGGGTGGCTCCACAGAGGATGGAGCTGGACTGTTCTCAGTGGGGGCAGATGGCAGAACAAGGAGCAACAGTCTTCAATTGCAGCAAGGGAAGTTGAGGTTGGATTTGAGGAAAAACTCTCCCCCGAGGAGGGTGGTGAAGCACTGGAACAGGTTACCCAGAGAGGTGGGGGAGTCTCCATCCTTGGAGGTGTTGAAGACCCAGGTAGACAAAGCCTTGGCTGGGATGATGTAGTTGGGGCTGGTCCTGCTTGGAGCAGGGGCTTGGACTAGATGTGACCTCCGGAGGTCCCTTCCAGCCTCATTGTCTGCAATTCTATGCCTCTCCATTTCTGGGAGTCTTTAGTAGGACAGTGCATCGCCTTCCCAAGGACATGCGTGGGGGGAACATCATCTGGCTGCATAGCAAGAGTTCAGGTGTCTTCGCTGCCCTGGACTGTGCTGGCAGCCAGAAAAGATGACCCCAAAAGCCCCTCCTGACTTTAGTGGTTCGAAAGTGAACCTGTTCAGTGATCTGCTCTGAAGAGATGCCTAAACTCTCCGAGGTGCATCGCAGCGTGTGTCATAGGATTGTAGGAAAGTAGGTCACAATTTCATCTAGCCCAAGCCTCTGCTGAAGGCAGGGTCGGGGATGAGTGTCATCCTGGGAGAAGAGATGGTGTAAATTAACAGCAACAGAGCCATTCTGGACTATGCCCCTGCCGGCGCCCAGTTACGAATACCAAACCACGCCCGTAAGCCTGGCTTAAAAACGAACACAAGAACATCTGCATAACTCTACTGGGAAACAAGCCCTTCCTGGGAGCAAAATCAGGCTTCCTGTTTACTGCAAAGTAATCAAGACGCGAATTTCTGGTCTCGTTAAACAATGGGTAGCATTTCAAAGCCAACTAATAACAAGCCAAGAGTACTCAAGGAGCTGGCAGGTGTCATAGCCCAACCACTGGCAAAAACATTGGAAAACTCATGGCGCTCAGGTGAAGTACCTGAGGACTGGAAGAAGGCCAATATGGTACCCATCTTCAAGAAAGGGCGGAAAGTAGATCCTGAGAATGACAGGCCAATCAGCTTGACCTCAATTCCCAGTAAGATTCTGGAGAAAATTATCAAGGAGACTCTTCTGGATAAGCTGGCCAAAGGCAACATCCTGAGGGACAGCCAGCACGGGCTTGTTGTGGGTAGGTCTTGCTTGACCAATCTCATCTCCTTCTACGACCAGGTGACCTATCACCTGGACAAGGGAGAAGAGATTGATGTCATATCTGGACTTTAAAAAAGCTTTTGATCTGGTGCCCCATGACCTCCTCATGGAAAAATTCGGCAACTGTGGCCTCGGCTACACCACAGTTAGACGGCTGGGGAATTGTCTCCGAGGTCGGACCCAGGGAGTAGTAGTCGATGACAGCAAGTCATTATGGTGCTCCGTGTCCAGTGATGTCCCCCCACAAGGCTCTGTCCTTGGACCAGTTCTCTTCAACATCTTTATCAAGGATGTGGACATTGGTGTCAGAAGCGCACTGGCCAAGTTCACCGATGACACTAAACTTTGGGGCATAGCGTCCACACCTGAGGACAGGCTAGTGATCCAGGCTGACTTGGATAAACTTAGTAAGTGGGTGGATACAAACCTGATGATGTTCAACAGCGATAAATGTACGGTACTCCACCTCGGGGGCGGGGGGGAAAAACCCGCAGCACGCTTATAGGCTCGGCAGTGCTACGCTTGCTAGCACCGCGGCTGAAAGACTTGGGGGTCACGACTGACCACACGATGAACGTGAGCCACCAATGCGATGTCGCAGCCAGTAAAACAAACAAAACGCTGGCTTGCATCCATAGATGCTTCTCAAGGAAATCTCAGGACGTCGTCCTCCTTGGCAAGGCCACGGCTGGAGTACTGAGTCCAGTTCTGGGCTCCACAATTCAAGGACGTCGAGACGCTTGAGAGAGTGCAGGAGAGCCACGTGCGAGATCAGAGGTCAGGAGAACAGGCCTTATGAAGAGAGGCTGAGAGCTATGGGGCTTTTCAGCCTGGAAAAGCGCAGGCCCAGGGGGACCTGGTGGCCACCAATAAGGACACAAGGGGTGTTCATCAGGATCTGGGGGAACGCCTGTTCACCAGAGCGGCCCAAGGGATAACAAGGACCAACAGTCAAACTCCTCCAGGACCATTTTAGGCTGGACATAAGGAAAAATTTCTTTACTGTCTGAGCCCCCAAGGCTCCCTCCAGAAGTGGTGCAGGCACCTGCTCTGGACTCATTCAAGAAACACTTGGATGCTTATCTTGCTGGGATCCCTTGACCCTAGCTGACTTCCTGCCCCTGGGGCAGGGGGATGGACTTGATCTTCGAGGTCCCTTCCAGCCCGAATGTCTATGAAAACCTGACAACGGAGCACAAACCTAAATGACCAAGACAAGAAGTTAAAGGGAGAAAGTTGATCCCAGAGTGCTTTTCGTCCCAGGTGCAAACCAATGATCCAATTAAACCAGTAGCCCCGTGGTCATGCTGATCAAACACCCAGGGATTTGCTGTGTTATTAGGATACCGCCCCACAGAGGGGAATAAATATACATACCACAGACACAGGCCACATGACTCATGGTCAAGCAGATCTCCCTTGCCCTGTGCATCCTGTTTCCCAGTGGCTTGGTAAGATGGAGCTTAGAAAGGCAGTGACCCTTCTCCTAGCATTTCATGTTGGAATACCCCCTTGGAGCAGAAATGGCAGCAAAGGGGCAAACTCACCCCAGGGGACAACACCTGTGCCAGTGCTGGGCAATGTGGACGTTCAAGCCGCTGATGAAGGCAGGTTGCATTTCTCTCCTGGGCCTCCCGGTGCTGGTCTAACCAGAAAACCGTTGCTATCCGCCCCCCCGCGCCCACACTCCTTCTGGAACTGAACCTAGAACCCCGGAGCCTTCAGTGCCCGCTGTAGCCGGGAGACCCCGCTGCCTCAGAGCAGAGCAGCCCCAACTCCATCATCCCAGCCAAGGCTTCATCTACCCAGGTTTTCAGAACCTCCAAGGATGGAGACTGCACAACACGGAATCATCAAAAATAAGGGCTGGCAGGGAGCTCAGGAGGTCACATCCAGTCCAACCCCTGCTCCAAGCAGGACCAGCCCCAACTCCATCATCCCAGCCATGGCTTTGTCTACCCGGGTCTTCAAAACCTCCAAGGATGGAGACTGCACCACCTCTCTGGAAAACCTGGTCTGGTGCTTCACTACCCTCCCAGTGAAGGAGATTTTCCTAATATCCAACCTCAACTTCCCTTGCTGCAACTTGAGACCATTGCTTCCTTTCACCGATTGAACCTCCTTTGTCAGAGTTCAATTAATCCCATAAAACCAGGGGCTTTCTTACTCTTTTTTTTCACCCTTAACCCTAAAACCTGGAGTACAGTCGCAAAAGGAGTTTTGCATCAGGACTCCTGGGTTATATTCCTGACTCCAGCACCGACTCTGAACTCCTGTCCAACAGGGTCCTGGACTGTCCCCACTCGAAGCTCAGAGAGGGAT